GACACTGACAAAGTAAGGTGAGGCTGAGAAATGAGCAATGGGGAGATGCGGTCAACTCCCTCCCTCTCCCCGGGCATTGGGAGCCTTCCTCCATGACCAGCTCCCATCAAGGAAGTGGTCTCGCCCAAGCCGTGAGGACCCTGGGAGTAATGGCCCTAAGAATAACTTCATTTATTCAGGTTCCTTCTCAAAGGAGCTTGGTCATGGTGATGGTGATGTAAATGATAATTATAGCCACATTTGATGATCTTTATATAATGTGGTGACTCGTTTCCTCTTTAGAACACTCCCTCATTCTCATCATACCTTACCCCCAGATAAAGATAGGGATCCCAAGGTGGCCAGAAGTGGCCGAGCGACCTTCCCGAGTCCCAGAATGAGTTGGGCAAGCCATACTACAAGGTGCTTTTGAACCACAGTCCTTGATTCTAGACCTTCTTGCCCTGGTTAACCAGCTCTGAATAGACTTGTTGGAAGTGTTGCAATCTGGGGTCTCCTCATTTTTAGAAATTGGTTCTAGCACTTCTTACGCTCTAATCCATTCCCTCAATATAAAAGAGCCCCTGACGAGGACCCAGTTTAGCCTGAACTATCCATCATCATCTTCATTTGGCTTAAGATATAAAAGTTTTCAGAGCCTGTATTCAAAACTCTAAAAATATCCCTTTTGATCAGGGTGGCATCTGTCCTGGTCACCGGCCTTAGGCTTAGATGGCCTGAATTATTTGGCTCCCGCATGCAGCCTTCGCTAAAACAAAAGATCTGGCGTGAATAATTTAAACCCCATTCCCTTTCCCCTCCACAGATTTCCCATGCCACACCGGGCCGCATTTCAGCGCCAGCAAAGATGTGCTATTCCTGTCCCTGATGAATGCTTCCTTCTTGGGAAAGTGACTTTAGGGGCTGCAGATGTACTAGGAGGAAGGGCTCAGACCAGGATGGACATCGCACCGTGTGAGCCGGACTGCCCCGCCCCATCCCATCCCAGCTCGTTCTTCGGGAACGTTGGATGTCCGGCTTGGCCCTCCACCTGATCCAGGCTGGATGCACATCACTCAGATGCCCGGTCTTTCATCTTTCCCTTTCCTCTTTGGGGACCACTTTGTGCAGAGCCAGACTCACTGCATTCCTCCTTTGGAGTTTCCTTCAGCCTTTAGCTGATGAAAGATTTCAAAGGGCAGTTAGACAAGGGCGGCGGGGGGAATGAAATGAGAGCAGCAAGGAGCCTCCAGGAACCACAGAACGCTTTCAAACTGCCTTCACCACATCGCCTGCCCCCAAACGGGAGCCTGGGTTGAAAATGTCCTACTTGTCTCAGCCACCTTCTTGGTGAAACAGCCAAGTGCTCAATGATTTGGGGGCTGACTGGCCAGGATGTGGGTGACTCAGAACCACTGCTTCACCTGTGTCTGTCCTCAGGACAGTTCTGTCTTTGGTTTTTTCAGAGGGTTGGTGGGGAAAAGCGAAGGGAGAAGATTTCAGGCTTCGAGTCTGCTCTTTGCTAGCCTGCTGCCCCCAGACCCCTGGGCCGGCGGCTGTGCATGGGCACCTTTCCCTGCCCTCGCTTCCAAGCTGGTCACGTGTCTGGTTGGTGTCAGACCACAGAGGTCAGAGGGGTTGGATCAGTTCTGTTGGGATGGAAGTGAGAGTAGGCCAGGGAGGGAGGGGGGAAGGGGGGCTGAGAAGAAGGAGACTGGCTAGCACCAGCCTGCCCAGCAGCTCCTGTGCCCTCAGCTCTGCCTCAAGGCCCAGGGGGATGAGAAGGCCTCTAGTTTGTTGACCCTCTGAAACTCAGAAGGGCAAGCGGAGAGGTACATGTGCGCTGTCCTGCAGGCAAGCCCGAGGCCCTGGCCTTCCAGAAGTCCCTGCATCTTCCCTGCACAGCCCTGGGTACAGAGCTTGGTCCCCCCAGGCAGGCTGTGACTGGATGCTGGGGACATCAGTTTTCTTGATGGCTGGGCCCGGAGGGTGGGCAGACCTTGCTAATGGATGGTAGAGGAAGGGAGTAAAGACGAGGGGGCTGTGATGGGTGAGTCACAGAGCAGAAGGCTGCCAGTTACTGACCCTTGGGCTTTCCTTCTGATATTTGAGGCTGCCAAGGGGAAGAGCTCTTATGACTGGACTGGTCTCCAAAGCAGCCGAGAATGCTGAGCATCCCCCATTAAGGCCTGGGTGGCCCAGTGTCTTCAGACTGAAATGTCTGGATGGAGTGTTGGACCCGATGGCCCTCAAGTTCCCTTCTACCCGGGGCATGCTCTGACACACACTGTTATTTCTGACACACACTATAACGAGTGCAAGGAACTTCTAGGGCGCCCCCCCCCCACCGCCCCCAGTCTCTTGCCCTAGTATTTTGGCTGCGCCCTGCGGGAGCTCCCTCTTATACCCACCCAGATCTCTGGGAGCAGCTACTCTGTGCGGACATCCACATATATGGAGGACGGCACGCCCCTCCGCCCACATTACCCCCCTCGGCCTCCCATCCCTCTGCCTCCCATCCTGCCGGGCCTCCCCGGGATGTGTATTCTTGTTGGCAACTCTAACAGACTGGGCTTCACAGTTCAGCTCTGGCACTTACTCGCTCCGCACCTCCCAGGCCAGCCTGCTCATCGGCACTGTGGGGGTGAATAGTGCCTCCCGGAGGCAGGCTGGCTGGGGGGTGCGAACTCTGGCCTGGGAGGCAGACCCAGCTGCTCACTGGCAGCGTGGCCTCTGGGAAATGGCTTCACCTCTCTGCGGCCCGGCTTCCTCCCCTAAATGCATGCTGTGAGAGTAAATACCTCATAGGGCTGGGTGAGGATGAAACGAGCTACATGCACCAGTGTTTGGAAGAGTGCCTGGTGCAGACTTCATGAGGGCTGTGGCTTTGCAGGGCTGCTGTCATAAGGACAGAGGGAGGTGGCTCTCAGTGCGCAGTGCCCATTCGTGTTATTGCGCCCTGAGTGGAAAGCAGGGGGCTGTTTCCCAGGGCTGTAGGGGACCACTGGTCTTAGGGGCTCCTTTAGAGCCAAGACAGACGACTCTGAGTGAGAAGGAAGGTTCCAGAGTGAGGGCCTTGGCCTTCCTTCCTGGACTGTAGAGGTGAGTCCTGTTTCTTCCACAATAAGATAGCTTGTGGAAGGAAGGGCTGGTGATCACACGGCTCAGCAGCCTGCCTCCATGGGCCACAGGGCTCAGCCTGAAGCCTGAGGCCAAGCTGAAGGCCCCATGCCCTAAAGGGTCAGGGCTGAGCAGAGGAAAGCTAGACCCACTGAGAATGCAGGGAACGGGATCTCTCTGGGCCCAGCGGTACTGGTCCCCGTAAGCCTCAGTCCCCATCAGGGCTGGGGCGTCTCATCTGGCCCATACCACGTGTCCAGGGACTCCACTCAGCTGATGCCAGTCACGATCAGGATGTCCAACAGGCTGGCGAGGGCTCACGCCTGGCCACGTGAGGGATGGCTGGCAGGTGTGCGGCTGGCTTGGGGCCCAGCCATCCCACTGCCGTTGGCACAGCTCACGTCAAAGCCCGCGCTCTGGTGGCTGGTCCCCTGTGGGACTTCATCCCTCTGGGGTGCCACCATCCATGTGCCCTGCGTCTTGGTTCTGGGCTATCCTCAGAGCAGAATGAAAGAGCTTTCTCTAGGCAGGGGCGAGTCATCCTACTGAGCCTGTACACAGGCACTTTTATATCCACAGCTAAAACACTAGGTCACCACCAGTGAGAGAGGCTTCAGGGACGTCCCCCCCGCCCCGTTGTCTCCTGCTGCCTTGGTTGGATGTGCAAAGGGTACAGGGAAGCAAGGCGAGAGAGCACAGCCTTTGAGGCTCCTTCCTGTGACCTGATTCCATTCAGGCTCAACCTGATTTCTCATGGAGACTCGGGCTCGTTCTGGCTCGGGCCCTTCCCTGCTAAGTCCACATGTTCTGTAGCCTCCCCTGCTCCCACTGGGCTTGGCCGCTGGGAGGAGATTGAAGGGGGGAGGCTCCACCCAAGGCACCAGGGAGCCTGCTCTGGCCAACAGTGCACGGGTGCGAGGGGGTGGGTCTGGCTTCTGCCCCGGCCAGTCCTGCCCTGGCTTCTTTCCCTGACATGATGAGCCAGCTCTGGATGGACAGTCTTCCCAGCTTCAAGGAGCCTGTGCTGCCCACAACATCACCCGTGACATCCTTTTGCCCTGACAATCAAGCCTGGGTCTGATCAAGCCTCTAGATGCAACTATCAGGAGAACATGTTAAACAATGTCACAAGGATATAACCAGAAAATCCATAGGACAGATGACCTGGTTCCTTCAACAAATAAATTGCAAAGAAGGCGAGAGAGAGAGAGAGAGAGAGAGAGAGAGGGGGGGGGGGGGAGAGAGAGAGGGGTGGTGCAGCTAAGAGACTGAAAGAGACTCAGGAGACAAATTGCCCAATCTTAATACACGGACCTAATTTAGGTTTCAATTCAAACAAACTGCAAAAAGAAAAGAGAACAGTTTATGGGGCAATTGGGGAAATTTGAAACTGCCTGGTTATTTCATGATATTAAGGAATGACTGGTAATTGTCTTTGATGTGATCATGGTGTTATGCTTTCTAAAGAAGGATCCTTCGGTTCGAGGGGGACACACTTCAATATTACAGACCACTCGCTGTCTGGGAGCCAAGTGGGGAGAGGCAGGGAGTAGGGAGGGGACACATGAACCAGAAGGTGGTGGTTGTTGAGTGTGGGTGATGGGACAGGGGGCTTCATTATCACATTCATTTCTGCATATCTTTGAAAAGCAGCGTGATAACATCTGGAAGGAGGAGGGGGAGGAGGGAGGTGGAAAGGTAGGGTAGAGGGGCCACCAAGACTGGCTTAGGTGCTAAGAACCTAGAGACTGTGGCCAACACCAGACCCCAGGGTGACCATCCCTCTCTGGCTTCCCCGAGGCCTCCATTCCAGGGGCCTCCCCGGCATGAGGGGCGGTTCTCAGTACAGGAGCCCGATGTGGGGACGGGACGCGGGCTGGGGGCGCCAGCAGGGCACTCACCGTGGAGAGGCAGCTCCTGTCCTCCCGGATGATGGCGCCGAAGCCCAGGAAGCCCGTCACCATGACAAGGGCCCCTGCGAAGATGAGGATGTAGGCGGACGCGGCGAAGGTGCTGGAGGCCAGGACACTGAGGTAGCCGCTCTTCTCCACCAGGGTCCAGACGCCCACGGCCATGACGGCGGCCCCGCCCACCTGCAGGAAAGCCCAGGTCAGGGCAGGCGGCCGCCGCGGGTCCACAGCTGCCATCGACAGAGCGCCCACCATGCTCCAGGCGCTTTTTATGCACCATCTCATTCAGTCCTTCAAAGAGCCCGAGGGAATAGTTTGGTCACCCATTTCACAGATGAGGAAATCGAGGCGTGGAGAAATTAGGAGACTCGTTCACAGTCACACACCTAAGCAAGTGGCAGGGACGGATTTTGAATCTGAGGCTGATTCCCAATTCCGTACTTCTTACCATATTGTGTCCCCAGGAGATGCAATGCCCTTCCTCCCACAGTGCTCTTTGGGCTGGCCCATGGTAGGGCACGTTTATATGTGCCCCATTTCAGCCTTATGTTTGTCCATGTGGGGAGCACGCCAGGGCTTCTCATCTTATCTACAGATGACAAAACTGGGGCCCACAGAGGAAAGGCCAACTGCCCAAGGTCCTGCCTCTGGTTAGGAACCGTTAGGGGTAGTAAGGGGCAGCGGCAGGGCCAGGACTCGAACTCAGAGCCACCCTGCCTCCCTCCACCACCGAATGGATGCACGCTGCACAAGCTGGCGTCGGTCTGGGGCAGCAGGAGGACTGGGAGAGATTTCTTCCTTGCTAATGGTCCCATTTTCTTTCAGCCCTGAGAAGGAGGCAGGGACAGGGCACTGCTGACTGGCAGGTCAGGCCGATGGCTCCCTAGGAAGGGTACCTGGGGCATAGAGCTGGGGTGGCTCTCTAGCCTGGTTCTTTCTGCCTGGAGGCTGAATGACCCTTTCTGTGACTTGTATGCTCAGCAGAAGTGTGTGCGTGTGTGTGTGTGTGTGTGTGTCCTCAAGGTGCTGGATGGGGCAGCATTAGGCTGTCTGCCCAGGGTGTTGGTGGGGGGCAGGACCCCTGGGACCTCTGACCATCTCTGCCTTCTGCTCCTGGGAAGGCAGACTTCTGTCTGGCCCCTAGTCTCCCTGCCTCCCTTAAAGGTGGGTTCTCTTTCTCAGATGGGTGGCGGATCTCCCTCAAGTGTGTCAAAAGCTCCATAAGCTTCCCTGGCTCGGTCCATGCACACAAGCGGCTCCCATCCGTCCCAGAAGGACTCTGTGTAACCCACCCTGGCATTTCAGTGTCTGTTCCCGGCACTCACAGGCGTCAGCCGAGTGAGCAGAAGGTGGTTCCGGGCATTTACCGGGCCCGAGGCACCTACATCCTGCAGCTCAGCGCTCTCTCTTCTGAGCCTTGCAGCAGTTCTGGGGCGGGGGGTGGGGGGGCACGTAGCTTTCTTTTGCAGATGAAGAAACTGAGGCTTGGAGAGAAGAATGTGCTAGACTGAAAGCCCGGTTTTCGGTCCGAGGATTCCACAGGTTGGGTTGGGTCTGCTGTGCTACTCACTTCGCTTATAAAATCTGTCTGCTTTCTTCCAAGTGCTTTTTATCCTCCTCTGTACCTCCAGCAGGTAAGAGAAACAGGTAGAAGGACATCACACGGCTGCGCCTCTCCAAATGGAATGAGAGAGGCTAAGGTGCCACAGTCCTTCAATTCCATGATGCACATCTCCCCCCACCTGCCCTGTGCCCCACTTTAACATCTCTACAACTGAGACGCATCTTACGATTATACTTGGCTGCACGTTTTCTTAGTGGTACAGAAAACAATGGTGTATCTCACAACTGGTGGTATCTTCAGATTCAGTGAAATCCTGGACTATGATAGGTTTTGAAATTCCCTGTGAGCATAGGCTCTCTCTGCCCCGTACAGCCTCCATGACCAGGGAGGGAGTTCCTGAGTCTGATTTAGGGGAACTGTGTCCAGTGAGGCTTTCCAGCAAAATAGCCTGCACATGTTCTTTCTGTCTCCTGCCCCTGGTGTGACTGAAAGGCTTGGGTAAGGGCCCCAAGTTTTCATAGCTAGCTGTGTGACCTAAAGAGAGTCAGTTTCTTCATATCTCCAGTAAAGAAGTTATCTCAGACTCGTGATGCCCAGCCTAGAGCCACCAAGGACTCCTTCGATTACTTTTTCCTCTGGATCTTATATTTTGAAGGCTCCTGCCTACCAAATACAGTGTATTAATTAAGTAATAATTCATTTCTCATTTTTTATTAATCAAAGGCACATGAGAGTGCCAGGAAGAGATTCTGAGCAGCATGAAACAGTCAATGTGACCACTTTGCATTGATCTTTTAATGGGTATAGTCTCTTTATAGAAATATACACATGATCCATTATCCATTAGGTTTGTCAACCCCATAGGCTGAGAATCAGATTCAGGACCCTCCATCTGGGCATGTGTGGGCTTAACTGGGGACACTTTTATCTGTTGGGGGACATGGAACCCACTGAAAATCTGATAGAAAGCTTTGGACACTGTGGCCAGAGAAATGGTAAGCCACGTAAAATAACGTATTCAGGTTTGGGGTTTGAAGTCTAATCTTGTAGCACGCAGTGAGCCCTAGTGTAGACAGGTCTCTAAGGCCTCCTCCACCTTGACACCCAGAGAAGGTGGCATTTCTCAGCCTGGCTGCAGAGTCTCCTGGGAGTTCCAAGAAACCCAAGCCACACTCCAGGCCAATCTCTGGGAGTGGGATCCAGGCGTGAATATTTTATTAAGTTCCCAGGTGGTGCCTCAGAGAACCGAAGCTTGGGTTCCATATTTAATGGAGGGTCAGAGTGTCCTGCCCCTCTCCCCCAGGAGGTGGTGCTGTGCTGAATCTCACAGAAGAAGCTGCTTCCTGGAAGATTCAGGGGCCCTGCCCTGGGTGTAGCTGCCTGGGTAGCTCTTGACACTTGTTCAGGACTTGAACTCCATCCTTTTCCCTGTCTGTGCGAGGCTATTTGCTTTGGGGTTGAAGGTGGGGTAGTGAGGAGCAGAGTTTCCAGTCCAAAGGGATGAAAGTTCTATTATGAAAAAAGGGGGAAAAAAACCCCATGGGGCTCCCGGTGGAAGGAGGCAGGGGGCTGTAAAAAATGCAGCCCTGGGAGAGGAGCAGTACTGATTCCACTAATGGAGGGCTGCTCTCTTGCCAGTCACAGAAAGGGCTGGAATCTTGCAAAGCCAAGCCAGGAGAGCCCACAAGCCAGCCAGGGTGGCAGCAGGGCCCCCAGCCACGAGGGAGGGTCTGGAAGCAATCGGAAGGGACCCAACTGCCCTGACTGAGGTCCACGGAACACATTCATACTCATTCTGATGTCCATGGGGACACCAACCCTCCCCTGGGGTGTCACATCTGGTGGAGAAGTTAGTGTCTGCAGGAGACACCGAGAGGGATTTGCCATCAGGAACAAGAGGGTTTCAAGTCTTCCAGGGTGTCTCTTGCTTGGGACTTGGTCAGCTCTTTCGAAAACAATCTTGCATCTGGACAGGAAGAGTAAAAGCTGCTAAATGTTGGAATGGGTCACCAGAGGAGAACTGGGAGGTAAAAGTCAGCGGGCCTAGGTTCTAGCCCGGGCTGTGCCCCTGCCTCACCATGTATCCGGGTACCAGACACTTCACTTGGCTGAACCTCAGTTTCTTCATCTGTAAAATGGTGCTGCGGGATGAGAATATCTCCGAGGTCTCTTCCACGTGGGTAAAATGTCCCTGTTTGTACTGGAGGACAACTTTCTGCCGATACATCTCCAGGAAGATGCTTCTGGACCAACAGTTCATGGCTTTCCCTCCAGCTATGTGGAGACTGCCCAGATCAGCAGGAAGAGCAGAGGAAGGGGAGCTGCGAGGCAGAATGATGCGGGGCGGAGAGAGATCTGACCCCAGTGAGCTATTTCAATTGCTACTTGCACAGAGTTGATTCAACAGTATTGGGCTCTTTACAGAAACTGTGGAATATTAAGCACATTTTTCAAAACCATAGCCTGTAGCCGATTAGCCAGAAAGCCCCGCAGAGGGTGAAGCTGGCCTTCTTGCCAACGAGGACCCAGGCGTCCAGCAGGAGCATGGCAGGTCACCCATGCCTTGTAATTTTAGGAACTTCCAATCTGTAGAACCAGAATGTTGCTCATGTCATCACATGAGCAGGAAGAGGATTAGCCTGAGCAGTCCCACATGGCTGCCCTTCCTGACATCAGGAAACACCCTCCCACCCCCCAAAAGCAGGCATAGAATATAAAAGTAATTGCAGGATTTTCTTTGTCAGGCTACTGAAGGGTTTCCGTGCTGGCATGTGGCGGCAGGACCAGTGGGGGGAGCAGGGGCCAGGATGGCGGGGCTCTCAATAAGGAAGGGTCCCCCAGGCCGGAGTCCCCTGCCTTCAGTGGGAGGGAAGCCCATGACACGGGGAGGCAGGAACACATGGGGTGGCTGTGTAATTCACTTCTGTATGTGTTTGCTGGGTGCCTCCTAGCTGCCCAGCTCCACGCTGGACTGGAAAGGTTTTGGAACTGGATGTGTGTTCGCCCATTTAGAGTCACACTGGGAGCTCCTTCTCCCCTGGTCAGTCTCATAAATGGCACCCCCATCCGCCCAGAGCAGAAGCCCCAGGGTCACTAGGGACTCCTTACTCTCCTCCCAGGGACAGCGGTGTGCGGGTCCCCAGCCGTTCTCCCCACCCGGCTCCATGCACCGTTCCGGCTTTGGCTCCCTGCCTCCCCACCCCTGCATCATCAGCTTCCCAGCCCCTGCATCCAGCCCAAACTCCGGCCTGGCTCCCTCTCCAGCCTGAGCTTGATTAATGACTAACACCCCCCAGGGCCGGCCAGCTTTTCTCCCAGCCCCTGCCCCCGATGTCCCTGTGGCCTGGGTACCACTTCTGACCGAGCTGAATCTTCAAGGCTAGGCTTGTCCTGCTAAAAGCCACTTTCCGCCTCAAGTCGTTCTTGTCTTGGCTCTTTGGTTTTAAAGAGTCCTTGGTAAAAGAAATCACAGCACTGCTTTCCCTCTCTCCCCAAAGAAATCTACCTCTATGACAAGAGCAGAGGTCACGGGATTTGCTGAGGGTTGGAGCTGTTGAATCTGTTCCTCCTTCAAACCCCGCTCGGCACGTGCATGGAGCCTGCCCCCAGTCTCGCAAAT